TAAAACACTGAAGAATAAATTTAATATATTGAAAATTACAAGGCAATCCTAAGAAAAATAAAGAATATCTAAAGAAACAGAAAAGATATTCCAGGTCCCAGAACTGAAAGAGACAATAATACTGAGATATTAAGATATTAGTAAGAGAGCAATTCTCCCCAAAGATCTGTTGATCCACAATGGCTATTAAAATCTCAGCAGACTTTTTTTGAAGCAGAAACTCACCAGCTTGCCCTAAATTTACACGGACATGCACAGGTTCAGAGTAGTCAGATGACTTTGAAAACACAATTTTAAGATTTATTCTACTAAATTTCAACACTTACTATAAAAGCTACAGCAGTCAAGATTTATGTTATTGGCTTGAGAAGAGACAGAACAGAAACAGGAGTTCAGGACAATCTTACATTTATGGTCAAGTGATTTTTGACAGTGGTACCAACACGCCCATGTAGAGTGGAGGACAGTCTGCAAATGGGGTTGGGATAACTGGACAGACACATTCAAACAAGTAAATTTAGATTTGTCCTTCATATCATATACAAAAGGTAACTATAAAAATATATAATAAGTAAAACTACAAAACTTCTTCAAGAAAACAGGAGAAAAAATTTGTGCCCAAAGAGTTCTTTGGTATAATATCAAAGCCACGATCCATGAAACATAAATTTGATAAGCTAATCTTTATAAAAATTAAAGGTGTTTACATGAAAGACCCTATTAAGAAATGAAAAGGCAAGTTAGAGACTAGGAGAAAAATATTTGTAAATTATGATAAAGAAGTTATCTAGAATATTTAAAGAATTGTTACAACTCAGTATAAGATAAACAATCCAATTTAAAAATAGGCAAGGATTTGAATACACCCTTTACCAAACAACAACAACAAATGGCTTATTAGCACATAATATGATGCTCATTGCCTTTCAACATCCTAATCTCAATTTTTAAGAAAATGCAATCAAAACCACAAAGAGATTTAGTAATACATGGCTATAATATGTTAAAAATGCTCTTACCTGCTTCTGAAGTGAGTCTTAAAATTGTTTAAAATGGTAAATTTCATGCTATGTATATTTAACAACCACAAAAAAGAATTTTCAACCTCTTGCTAAAACTTTGGAAAAGTGAACAATGAGGGAAAAAATAAAACCAAGGGGGGGGGGGAGAAAAAAAACCTTACCACAAAGAAAAGCCTGACTTTAGGAAGTTTCACTATGAATACTTCGAAACATTTAAAGACTATGACAATTTTACATCATCTTTTCCAGAAAGAAGAAAAGTGAACACTTCCATATACAAGCAGTGAGGTCAATTTAAATCTCAATTAAATGTATAATTAAATGATTTATTTCTTGCAGAAATTGTATTATTATAGTAAAAAAACAGAAGGTGGGCCCTCGCTGATGGCACAACAGGTTAGGACGCAGCACTGCAAGCGAGCTGCTTGTGTGAGATTCCTGGCACCAGAGGTGACCCACATGGAGTGGCTGACCTCTCCTGTCTTACCCGCTGCTCCCCTCAGCAGTGTACTTTGTCAGTCTGCCTGTTCTGCTCCCCACTCTGTGTCTGGTGAAGCCTCTCACCGCCCTTGTACTCTGGCCTGTACTCCAGTTCTGTATGAATAAATAAATCTTAAAACAAAAAACAAAAAAAAACCCGGAAGGTGCTAGGCCAGAAATCTTGGGAACTGGGATCCAATCTAGAGTTGGTATGAGTTATCAATATTTGTATACCTTTCTTTATCAAGCTAGTTGGGCTTCAGTTTTCTCATTTGTAAAATAAGGAAGTTCCTTTCTATCTACAGGATAGAATTCTACAGTACAATTATTGCATACAATTTTCTTAGAAACTTGTCCATCCTAAAATTTGTATAATCCTTCTGGAAAAAAAAATGGCAATAGGTAGAAAGAACCAGTTCATACTCACTGGCAAAATATTTCAACTTTGGGATATCTATTGTAAGGATATGAATAAAAGAAAAAGAACACTTAGAAAGATGGTTATTTTAGTAACTCACATGGTTCTATAACAATGGTCTAATAAATACCACAAACACCACACTACTAAAAATAAACAGATGATTGTGGAAAATATTTTTGTTAGCTGAAATAAACAAAATATAAGTGACTTAAACTGTATATAACATGACAACATTTTGCCAAGTAAAAGAAAATTTGCATTAATGAATGCAGCATCAGAGTTGTGGATCTAAAGCTTTTTAATTACAATCTGTTGAAATATTGGTACATTACAAACTGAAAGTAAAAAACAAACTTGTCCAAAGGGTAGAAATATAAAATGTCAAGATTATGTTGTTAAAGTTCTATGTTGTTCTGACTTGATTAATGCTTCCTAATAATACTGAGTAGGTGTCAGTAATTAAAACTTACCAGCTGATACTGGAATGACCAGCAGTATTTTATTCATTCTATCCAGTGGTAAGTCAATGTCTGGAAATCTGTGATTCTACCAAGTACCCATTAAAATCCAGATAAATATTAGAGTTCAAAATTCCTATGCCTACCACCATCACCACTTCTCTAATTCTCAATTTCAAATTTGTTAGAAGCCTTTATCAAAAGATAAAAATATCACTCACAAGCTATCTGAGTTACACAAGTACATTCAAGTACGGAAAGTGAAAACACGATGGTAGTAAATGTATGGCTTCTGACTTTCCTTCCTGTTCCTCTGGCTGCTTGCTAGGGTGGGAATTTCACCAACATTCAAAGGTCAGCAGAGGGAGAACACTTAGTAAATGCACAATCCTAATAATAATAGGTTGAAGTGACTGCTTCAGTTCAAAAAGCTGATGAATGGAAATTTCATATAGCTCAACCTATGTTAATACCTTTGTATTAAGAAAAACTTTGTTCCTTTTGAGATTCTACAATCATTGTGAAGGCTTCTCTCCTAAACCACCCCAATGCGGGCACTTAATGCTAGTTCATTCTTTTCAGAATCAGAATTTAAGCATTTTATGACTAAAATGCCAAAGTCATAAGCAAACCAAGAATGTCTTAGCAGCCAACTAAAGAATACATATCAGAATTATCCTACTGTAACTTAGTTTCTGTCAAAGTCATGTTTCTTTTCACAGAGAAATTTTTAGTGCCAACAATAGCAGTGGAAATCCTATTTTGAGAGCATCTTACCTGAAACTACCATAGACTATAAGCAGAATGGAAATCAGAAATGTAGACACCTGACTGGAATCCACCAGGGAATAGGCCCTAGAGAAAAAAAGAGGAAAAAAAAAATTAAATCACATGGCAGCAAGTCCTCATGGAATTTACAGTTTAATGGAGTTCTACAAATTCCATTAAGTTTTGGTTTTGTCTTAAAGGAGAAAAGTATAAATTAGCATTAGCAAAATTATTAAATTGGGATTTTAAAAATTTTAACAGGGAGTAAATAATACAGTTTCCAAAGTTAATATTGACAAGCTGTTAAATGATATCAACAAATTCTATCTCTGTATAGTATAAAATATATGCTTACAACCACTCACAATTTAAAAAAGAAATATCAATAGCTAACAACTCTGTACCAGTAGTGAAAAAGTCTCACTGATCAAACTTTTATCAGCCTATTTGATGATTGATAGTATTTTACTCTGTGAGGAGGTAAAGCCTGTATGTCTTTCCTGACTTTTGTTTCTGTTTTTAAAACTACCTACTGGTTTTCTCTCTCTCTCTGGGTGTCCCAGAGGAACTCTCTCTGCTTTCTATTTTCTTTAAATGGCTACACAGTATACCACTGTTTACAAACAAATCTTAGATGGACACTATGGCTGCTTCCAAAAACTTGCTTGTAAACAATTATAAAATAAAGAACCTGTAATTTGTATCTGTTGCATGCAATGACATGTCTGTGTAGCATTGAGTTCCTAAAATGAAGACTGTTCATCAAAATGAAAAGGAAATTGCAATCCGATAGGCAAAATGCCTCTAGAGAAGTTGTTTCATGTTATATGCTTGCCTGTAACAGAGTCTAGAATTCCTGTTTCTCAAAGTCTTGTGAACAGTGAGTGTTGTCTAACTGTGGAATTTTTATCAATCTGACAGATGAATTTTGGTAAGTCAATAGCTTTCATTTACATTAATTTTCTGATTTAATTAAAAATATTTAATTAGAAGTGTGACTGAGCACCTTTTAAATGATTAAGTCCCCTTCTCTCAACACCAGAGCTATACAAAACAAAGACAGGGTTTTGTTTTTAAAAGAACTTTTCCTTGAAGTGTTTTACTGTGATGACTTTTCTGTTCCCCTCTTACTCTGAAGCATGTTATCATTAACTAAAAGGTTGATTTATCATCTAAACTTTACAAACTCAGCATCTTAACAAAGAGGGGCCTTACCATATGCAAAATACCTTATGAGGAATCTGAGCAGGGCTACCAACTTTCATCTCCATAGTATGTGGCCCACTATAGGATTAAATGCATGGAGTCAGAAAAAAAGTTCCTTTATTTAATGGTTTCTTCTAGATAGAATTATTGGATTGTCAGGAAAATCATGACACATTTTTCCTTGAAAAACATAGAAAAAATATATTCTTTTAATTTTCAAATAAATCTATACCACAGGGTCTGCTTAAAACTGACTCCTAATATGGTATTTTGTTTCATAGTATTTTTAGTTTATAATAAACTTTAAAAGAAATTATAAGGCCCTCCCTGGTGGCCCAATGGGTTAAAGTGCAGCACTATGAAGCTATCTGCAGCCACTGTAGTAGGAGCTCAATCCCCAGCCAGGAGCTGATCCAAAGGGCACAGCAGACCTCTCCTGACCCGCCCACTGCTCCCCTCAGCAGTGTATTTCAGTTAATCTGCCTGTTTGTTCCCTACTCTGTCTTTGGTGAATTCTCTCACCCCCTGCATCTCTGGCCTGTACCCCAATTCTTGTATGCATAAACAAACAAATGTAAAAGGAAAAAAGTCTTAAAAAAAAAAAGAAGTTATAAGATTGTAAGCTATAACCAAATGTTAAATAATTGGAGCTTATAAATTATGATATTTGAAATTTCATATATTTTTGATTCAAACTACCATTACTGAATTCTATAAAAAGCCTTTTAATAAAGAGTTTACTAGAAGTTTCCCCAGCTATTTCAAAGTAGAATGTTCTACCCACTTGGCAGGTTATGGTATGATTTGGGCCTGGAGCACTATTACCCCATATGGTTTATATGAAAAAAATTTCAATTGTCCCCACATGCCTGCAAAACCAAATCATACTAAATAGGAAACATTATTACTTTTGCATATTGAAGGAGATCTGTACAAAATACATGGATTAACTTTAGGCAATTTGCATTTTAAAATATTATCAATTTTTCTCTCAAAAAGTTTACAAAGATAATTTTGTAAGACAAGTATATAAAGCATAAGTATCCAAGAGTCTCTTCACTCTATGTACTTAAAACTCTAGGAGCAGACACTATTTACAGTTTGGTGTGTATATCCTTCCATGTAAATTGTGTTTCCATAAAAATGGAACTATACATGTTCTTCTATAACTTGCTCTTTTAAATTCAACTATGGATGACTTTTAAAAGATGTTACTATTTTCTACTGTCTTTAACTTCTTGTCCTTTGCTATAAAATTAAGACATGGAAAACATTTTAATGCATCTTTTTTTTTTTTTCATAAAGAGGACATTCTAAGTTCAATGAACACAACTTTATAGCCACATAAACAAGTCTAGAAATTCTGAGTTATTAACAGCAGCAATATCTATAAATGTTTCTTATTTTTTTTCTTTTCACTTAACTTTCTAAATTAGGATGGTAGATCGTTATTTTTCATAAGAAACAAAAGGATGCCTTTGCTTGTACCTCTCTTTTTAGTCAATTTAAGTTCTAGCAATGATGGAAACATTTTGATTGCCTTTTTTATTAAGGGCATACCAAGTAATCCCACAGGTAAAGATAACGAATGACCATTTCAGGGTAATGAACTTTCAAATCTCCTGTGAATAGAGCTTTAGGAAGAACTCTGTTATACCTTGGAAGATGCATTCTGAAATAACTGTCTAGTTTAGAGGGATTATAAAACACTGACACTGAGCATAGCATTTTAAGTATGTACAGGAAGCATTTTTCAAAAATAATCTCTGTTTAACAAAGGTGACCATATTAGCACATCTACTAATACTGACATAGTAGAACATCCACTATCCTAAAATAACTTTATAATGAAGTTTTCCCTTGTCCCTTTGTGAGGGTGTATGCTGTCATTTAAATTCTCTAGGTTATAGACTTCTTGGTATACATGCACTATATTTTAATGAAGTGTTTAAGTTGATTTCTTTAGAGATTGCTTGTTATCAAGTTCAAATAGAAGTATGTACATTTACTATTAAGGCAGCTCTCAGGCAGACAACAGGAAGGAATTATTGGCACTTCCACTAACCATTCACCCTGGGAGAAGAGGCTCCAGTTTCTATCTTAAATTATACCTTAACTAGCTATTTCACCTTCCCTGGCAAGCCTTTACATCCGTCCCATCTCTATAAAACCCTCTTTGGCCCAGATCAACCTTAAGGCCCAAGTAATTTCTATTTTCAAGAATTTTGCATTGTGCTTTCCCTAACAAACCAAAAAAAATATTACCAGAAATAGCCTTTCATAAATAATTCATTTGGCTGATTATCAACATGTTACATACAAATAAACTGGCACTGACAAACAACACTATCTCTAGGCTACTGAAAAAATGGTTACTAGTTTTCTTTTTTTTAATTACCTAGCATTTCAAATTTAAAAGTGG